AAGTGATTAAGTTTATGTAAAGTAATTAAATTGAATTTAAATGTAATATATATATATATAATATATATATATAGTCCACAAGACAAAAAAAAAGTTGAATTTATAAAAATGACCTTGTTCAAAAGTTTATGTACCCCTAATTCTTAATACTGTGTCATTACATGGATGATCCATGACTGTTTTTTTATTTGTTTATTTGTTTGTTTTGTTGTTGTTGTGTTTTTTTTTTTGGGGGGGGGGGGGGGGGGGGGGGATGATGGTTGTTCTTGGGTCCCTTGTTTGTCCTGAGTAGTTAAACTGCCCAATGTTCTTCAGAAAAATCCTCCAGGTCCTGAAAATTCTTCAGTTTTCCTGGCTCTTTTGCATATTTGAATAATCCAGCAGTGACTTAATGATTTTGATATCCATCTTTTCACACTGAGGAGCTTTTTTCACAACTATTAAAAAAGGTTCAAACATTCAACGATGCTCCAGAAGGAAACACGATGCATAAAGAGCCAGAGGGCGAAAACTGAATGAAGATGTCCAATTTGTCTTATGTTGTTTAAAAATATTTTTTTCTTCATTTAGAACTGCCCACTGGAAGCAACGGAAGAGGTAAGTACAATTTACCTTGATCTTCAAATTCAAAAAGTTTTCACCCCCCAGCTCTTAATGCATCGTGTGTGTCTATGTCTGTTTTAGCTGCTGTGTTTGTCCTGACGTCTGAAGTGCTTTGTTTCTTTGTGGTCCTGCATGGTTTGTGAGTGTGACAGGGTGGAGACCCTGGACAGAAGTCTCTAAGGACCCCACAGCTGGGCTCGGGTAATTGCAGTCTGCACAGGGTCATGGATAGAGATCGGCCCTAGTGTCAGACCAATTGATTTGAGCGTTTTCAATGATCCTTGTGGATACATGAAGTCTGAAAAGCTGGTCATCCCCAGTGCCAGGTGTGCTGAACAAATGCTAAAGGACCTCAAAAACCATTCGCTTCAAATCACAGGGAAATTGTCCTCTGTGATTCTGTGACAGAGTGTTGGATATGAGTATGTACTGTATGTGTCAAAAGAAAGTATTTGTTTTAGTGTGCGGGTCATGGTGCAAGGCGCACAGGACCCCAGAGGAAGACAGATTTATGGAAGCGTTTGTCTCCATCTGTTGGAGACAGACTATAAACTCTTACCATAAAGCATCTCTCAGATATGTGCATAAATAACCTACATACTGTACTTCCATAAATACATAAATATTCACACACCCTGACCCAAAACCTTAACCCTGCTCTCATATTTTATAATGATCTCTTCAACAACATAAAACATGATGATATATGCATTAAATCTAGTTGTGAATATGAAGTCCTTTATTTTGTCTTTGTAGATTTGCTGAGGCAACTCAAATGTTGCATTAAAGTCTGTACACAGCTGAATGTTACCCTACTTATCTCTGTTACCTAACAGGAGTAATTAGGGGCTGTCGTAAGTGCTTTTTCATGTGCCTCATTCTGTTGTAATCAAAGACCGCAGAGGCCTACAGACATGGACTGCTTGCAACACATAAGGAGAACTAATAGTGTATTGTCATGCAAACTACTCTTGTACATGAGAAATGAGTCCCTCTCATGCTTCTAGGAGGAAATGCAAAAATAATTGATGATTGCATTGAGCAATATAAGTAATATGAGACAATGAAATGTAATATTAAAGTGGTTTTTTTCTGGCTTTGGACTTTGGGAAGACAATACAAGAAATAAAGAAGGGGGAATGTGATGCATTTTGATGTTACACTCTTTTACTGTCATATATTTTATTAGCCTAATATCATATTTACATGTGTATCTGTGCATACTGTTGTAAATGTGGTTGATAAGTTTTTTTTAAAATGTTTTGACTTTAAAAGTTGAATTTTCAGCAGCCATTACTTCTGTCTTCAGTGTCACATGATCCTTCAAAAATCATTTTAATATGCTGATCAATGTTGAAAACAGTTGTTGTGCTTAAAATGTATATATATATGTGTGTGAGTGTGTATGTGTGTGTGTGTATATATATATATATATATATTTTTTTTAATTATTATTATTATGATTTATGTGTGTGTATAGTACAGGGTCGTTGAATGCTTGATTGGTAAGGTGTGCAATTATTTTCAGGGAAAAGTATTTTCACGGCTAAAGTAGTTCCAGGCAGGTCTTGACCGCATTACAGTTCCATATCACTTCGCGTAGTTGACTGTAATAGCGGAAAATAGGACAATTCATAACAAAAAAAAAACATGCAGCCCCATGCGCTTGATCTGCAATTTTCGATGTCTAACTTCACAAACAATGGAAACATGCAGTTTAATTTTAATAAATAAAGCATATAGCCTAGTCCTATCTATAATCAAATGAAAATTGAACTGAATATAAATAAATTGATAGTCCTGCTGCACGGGTTTTCGTAATTGTTGCAGATAATATAACAAATAAATAATTATTGATAGGCCTACTTGTTAAAAGGGCTTTGTTTCATTTATTAGTCTAGTCTACTGTCAATAATAGAAAAAAAAGAATGAACGAATTAATTAAATAATAATATTGACGCACTGTCTCATTATTGCAACATCTCTCTCTCTCTCTTCAATGAAAGGTTCGATTTTTGCCAATTTTTTGAATGAAAGATCAAAAGGATAAACGATGCAGATTTATTTTTTACAGCAATTTTTGATCATATTTACCAGGGGTGCCATTACTTCTGACCACAACTGTGTGTAGGCCTATATATATATATAATATAGATGTGTGTGTGTGTGTGTGTATACTGGCTCCAAACTACTGAAAAGTGTATGTGCACAAATAGTTATCTACAAGTTTCATCCACACAAATTGACTACCTAATATTTTTATATTAATTTGTAATTTTATGGGTTTAACAATGCATACTCCCAGTTAAGAATCGTTAGCTGAATAAATCAAAGACAAAAAAAAAATGCACAACATTTTAATTTTAGCCATTTATTTTGACATCATAAAACAAAAGAACATTTTTCCAATGTAAGAAAAATAACTGTGATTTAATCAAGTGCACTTCAACAAAGTGTCTGTAGAAGCTGTACACCTTGCTTTGTGAAGTGAAGACATGAATCAAAAAAATATATATAATCCATCTTCAGGATAAGGCTTTAAGGTGGGATGTTTAGACAGCCTGTGTCATGTGAATGCATTCAATTGACCTCCATTTCAAGCATCCTGTAAATCCTTTCCCGATTAAAAACAAAACCAGAATTCTGTCATTTAGCCACATCAAGCAACTCCCTAACTCAAAATGTTAAACATAATTTGAGAGTGTGAACATTTGTGCCAAACCCTTCTGCCAAATTTGCAGCTGCTGAGGTTTCCATGTCCTTTACAACAAACAAGTGGTCAATCATTTACAATATCACATTACAGCAACAACACAAAGCATACAGGAGTAAAAGACGGCACATAGACGATATAGAGTTACGTTTAGTCAGCGGCGTGCACACATGAATGCAAATGTGCTTGTACGCGTGGACAAAACAAATTTCGCCGCAAAAATACACAGACAATACTTCGTACCGATGGCTAAAAATGCACGTGCATCAAAAATGCATCACTTATGCATGTCGACATGTTAATCTAGACACCTTAGACCGTTTGTGTTCAGTCTTAGGTAGTGTTCCTTCAGTGTTATAGAAATAAAACGTAAAAAATATTAAATAAAAAACAATCACATACTGAGAATGGGACATAAATACAAAATGACCAAGCAGCATTGTGATTCATTGTTATATACTATTGACATCATCAAGCCATGTAGTGGTACATTTTCATTTAATCTTCCCTGTATAATTACACTGTTTACAATTTCTATACATTGTGTAACATACAATCGGATACATATGAATAAAAGGCAATACATAGCAGGACAGTTTGTGCAAACCACACGGGTTATCAACAGCAGATGGCAGTGTTTCTCCTTCCACAGATCCATTCAGAAAAGGGCGTGTTCTTCATCTGAAGCCAACAGCGCCAGCAAACACATATTTTCGTTGAAATTTCCAAATATGCTTATTCAAAATGCGTCATTGTTGCTTTTTGAGGTTAAAAGTTGCTGCTAAAAACTCAGGCAGATTTTGTTTGCCATTGGCACAGACCATCCTCATTGGTTCACGTTTTTTATGACGGCACACAGGGTTCCGCAGCTACAGTTGGTTAGGTTGTATAAAGCCTAGGTCTCCAGATTATAATAAAGGAATGTTTATAGTTTGAATGCTTTCATACATATAGGTATTTGTCCATTTTAAATATTCTTAGACAAAAACCGAAGGATAAAATGACAATGGGTTAGATAAGTAGTTCGTATGAATTCTGTGAGGTAGCCTGCAATAATGTTATAGCTGTGAAAACAGACTTTGATCCTCTAATACAACAAAAATGATTTTTGTTTTTTTTTAAAGAAAATAATATTGCAAAACACACCACTCTCCATCACAGTGAAAAGAAAAACAGGATAATATGGAAGCTTTTAGCAAACAATAATGTGTATGAAGCAAAATTGTGTCTTATGGGTAAATGTGAAATGGCATTCATGGTGTTTTAAAGTAAAGTGAATGTTGACAACAATATATTAGATATTTCTATTGTTAATAGATACTGGTCATACACAAATATTATGGACAGGTCATATACATTCATATATGTCAACATCTAAATATGTATATACAAGTTTAGGCTATATATCTGGAATATAGAAATATAAAAAAGAGGCATAAGTAGTGCTTTGTGTTATAATCTAGCCTACGATTTGTACTATTATTTCCCCTCAGTAATAAATATGCAGAGGCCCAGGGGCTATTAATACTGTATTAGATTGATCAAATTTGACAATCGAAATTAGATTAATTGAAAAAGCTACATGTTCAAAACTGGCGCATGCACTTATTCCAAATGAAGTGATGTTGGTTCTCTTCAAAGGGGTCATATCATGAGAAATCTCATTTGGGGGGGGGGGATCTAAACTTTCTCCCCAGTCCAAAAACACCCTTTACTAAAGCCAAGATACAAAAATGTCTCATTCTGAAATGTTTTAAATTTAAGATGCCAATACTTTAACATTTACACATCAACATGGCCCAACCAGTCCCAGAAAAGCTATATGGACAAAGTATGATAGATACTGTTATTTCTAAACACTAGAATAATCATAATAATGATAAGAGAAATGTTCTGTGTTGTTGTTGTCTGATGTATTTCAGTCTGATCTGAAAACGGCACATTTCAATGTGGACCATTGAGTGAACCTGCTGCAAAGATGCTGTTATTGAAGGACAACCATCGGTAACTCATCAATCTAACTAGTTTCATATGCAAAGAGGATGCTTACATAGAAGTCTTAAAGGCACAGCAGCAAAAACGGCCTGTTTAATTGGATTAACGTTATAAGTGGACCTCGGGGGAAATTATTAAATGATAAAAATATGTATGATATGACCCCTTTAAAACCTGAAACAAGCCAGGAATGCAGCAAACTGAGTGAATTCCAGTGCTAAAGCGATGCTGTTTAAAAGACAAAGCTCGGCCCGAAGTAAACCTATCTAATTCAACAGCTACCTTTAAATATCTACGCTCCACATGCTTTGCACTCCTTCCTCTGATCTTTGAACTAGCAGTATAAAGGCGCACAAAGCCTCTGGGGTAACAAACCTTGTGTAAGGGCACATCATTAGGCAGTTGGCATGGCAGAGGCTCTCCACCTATCGGACGTGTCTCTCTGGTCAAGGCTGACTGTGATCTTGTGGTGGACAAAATGTGGCATGAGACTTGGCAGTGAGAGACAGTGATTCCAGAGTAAAGAGATCTAATGGGGCTGATTCATTATCACTGCTGCATAGAACCGGGTTGAACCTGTTTGTAGCGTCTGTTGAAGCCGAGCTTCAACATACGGTTGGCTTGTTGATTGTATGCTACCATTTGTGGAATGTTAATTTATCTCATGTTAAAAGAGTGAATGGGTTGTGTGCTGGTACACAACAGTTTTGTCCTCCTGTTTAGTCCTGATTTAAAATGCTGGAAAGCCATCAAAAATCTGGCCATAGTTCTGTAAATGAGTTAAAAGGTGTATTTTCGTGCTTTTTTATACCTAAATATCATATTCCTCCACATACAAATAGGAATGGGTTAAACAATCGCAGTATTTCTGGCAAGTCGGAGCCCATAGGATGATTGTGCTCTACTTTACAGATGATGATTGGGCTAATCTGCTCCAAAATTTGAACTTGTGAGATATACAAATAGTTGGCAATTGGAATGCTTTAGGTGTACCTGGTGAAACACAGACACTGATTATCATGGGAAATATGCAAAAGCAAAACAGTTGTGATGACATATAAAATGCTACCCTTGCTCCTTCTACAGCCTTAATTATTCAGTAAATTTCCCTTTACCAGCCAGCTGGAAGCAGGAGTAATTATTCAGGATACTGACAACACCTCAGGTGACCGTGTATGTGAGAGTGTGTGTGTGTGTGTGTGTGTTTGAATACACTTTGTATACCTCCATGCATATGCTCTGGATGTATGAATACATTCGGTTAATATACTTGGAAAGGAAATATTGTGCACACTAGTTTGACTGTGTGCACCTGCATTTGTGAGTATATGTGGGGGTAGAGCACATTCTATCATTTGGTCTTCAACTTGCCCTCCTTCGCCAGCTTTTCGTTGAGTTGGCATAGCTGGCACAGGAATCCATCATTCGGGCCGATCTCTCTCTTGTGTCTTACTGTAGCTGTGGCAACTCGTACATCCATATTGTGACGGAGCATGAGGTAAGCGATGACGATGGTGGGCGAACGGCTGTAGCCCTCCCGGCAGTGAACATACACCTTTCCTAGAAGAGAAATAATTGAAAAAACGATTTAAAAAGGCAGTGTTTGGAGCGCTACCCATGATCTCATCCTTTGAGGATACAAATGTGGCTTCTGCCGCAACATCCGTTTTATATACTACTTTGTGAACCTTCTCAAGTCAAGTCAACCGTCAGACCAATTTCCATCTAAACATGCAAACACACACGTACACATCCATTATTGACCTGCCCACTCTCCAGGAGGAATTCACCTTGGCAGCCCTAGCTGTGCTTATTTGGCAGATACAGCAGAGGATCTGAAACCTGATGCCTCCTCCACCAGCAGCCCTACTTACTTATGTTCTCCTGTGAGTCTTTGTGCTGTTTATGTGTCAAGGAGATAGTCTTCATTGATTCCTAAATCTCTGCTCCCTGTAGATCAAGAGCTACATATTTTCAAAATCGACGAGCCAGTTGGTAAATTTAAACAAAACATTAAGGATGTCCTGTATACAGTATGCACAGTGCATGTTCACATAGGACACTTTCTTGGGCTGGTTGCAAAAGCTGGTACAAATCTTCATGCTCGGATGGACAGTATAAATAACATTTAATACTGACAGTATAAAATAATATTTCATTTCAAATCCATTCACAGCCAGCGATATTTCTCTAAATAAGTTGTGAAGTGGGTTTTTTTTGTGTGTGTATTTTTTTCTGATGTGTTCTTATTTAAAACACATGCTGTTAACCAAACCACTGTCAAATCATTTAAATTAAGTGTAATATAATATAAGAATGAAAACAATATTATCTAACATAACCACAGTGAATAACTGTATAAGGCAAATTAAGTTGTATGCGCATGCCTTAAAAAAAGCATAAATCTGTATTCAGATTTCAGAATGAGCACTTTGACATTTGCAGTATATGTAGCTCACTCACAATTGTAATAATCAGGGAAAATTCATGACATTAATAAAAAAAATCATTAATATGCTAAGGGAATTGGCATTGTAAAAATGTAGAAGTAGACTTACAGATATAAAAACGCTTGTTTGGTAATGTTTACTCATTGAAATCAGATGTCATGAGAAATTCAGTTCTTTATTATTAGTAGTATATTTAAGATTGTAACCATGGCCTCTATACTTTTGATAGTAATGTGTTATTATAATATTGCGTTACTCCCTTTAAGAAGGAACTAATTCCTTTTTATGGAAAGTAATATGTTATAATACTTTTGCATTGGTTTTTCTCACCTGGGCTAGGCATGCTTGTTTGTTTTTTTAATATTTTATTTTATGTTTTATTTGTATAGGGACAGATACAATAAACATAGATAAAAGTGTGACAGCCATCCAATGCGTGTATCATTGTACAGTAGCTAAAGCTAATTTGCAACACTTGTCCCTAGAATAACAAAAAAAAGAGTTCTATTTTTGGCAAATGTAAAGGCACCATAAGTGAAATGAATTGGCCTCAGTGAGAAGGAAATGGAAATTCATGCCTAAACAGTAGAGGGCGCAGCTCAAACCTTTCAGTTGTAGATTACCATTCTGGATTGCAGAAGAATAGGACACAGGAGAAGAAAGTTCAACACTCTTAGGCCCTTTCCCAAATGGCACACTTCATATGCACTTTCAGTCTTGTGGACTTACAATCGCTGCCGCATGCGCGCGTCCATTAATTCCATGAGACCGTAGGGTGTCCCATTTGTCATTTTAGGTTTCAAAAGGGTGCTCGCGAGCGCCCCCTTGGCGGTCGATATGCGCCCTTGATGCACGCTTTTGTCGAGTCTGAACTGAAGCGAGCTCCGCAGCAGACTTCCACCCGACAGTCAAAGCGGCGTTACATCACAAAAGTGCGGACTCGTAGTAAGACGGTCGGCCGCGACTGTTTAGGGTGCCATTTGGGATAGGGCCTTACTTCAGCAATAAAAAAAAAAAGATTTTTAAAAAATTAAAAAAACACAAATGTGATGTTTATCCAAAGTCATTTTGCATAATATTGCCATATAGGATTGAATTGCATCATCAAAGGACAGCAGCAAAGACATAGGTTAATAAAGTTAGGTTAAATACATAGTATATTTGTGTTAATAAGCATTTAATTATTGCAGGTTTGCATAATATTCTTGAGTTTGCATTTCACCGTTTCTATTTAATTTAAAGAATACTGAATCGGTTTTTGTGCAAGTGAGATGAGTAAAGGCATGCTCACATTTAGTCTAGAATTACAATAACCATCATATTTGCACAGCGCACACAACGCCTCTGCACCTTACTCCCGATTTCTCTCAACATGGGACGAGGAGAGCTGTCAATCAATAAATGGAAAACAAAGTGACTTGCGTATCTTATTTGAAAAAGTAACTCAGATATTTCGTTCTAAATTTAAAAGTAATGCATTACTTTACTAGTTACTTGAAAAAAGTAACTGATTACGTAACTCACGTTACTCCCAATACTGACCATAGCAACGGGCTTTTTAACAATTTAACTAAAACATTTAACTATTTTAAATTTGACACACTATTATACTGTCATTCACATAAAATGCATTTTTGCATTTCATTCTGCTGCTTTGACGGACTATTGCGCTCACGTCTTTTCCTGCATCTCGCATAACACGGTTTTCTAAAAACAGCCCTCAAGTTAAAAAAGTAACTTTTAACAAACGTATTTCTAAACCTTGCGGTTTTTTCTCATTCCACTGCACTGCATGTCACATTTTTAAACGCAAACATTTTTTTGGTGTGAATGACATTACCATCTAAACTATACTCCTCTCAATTCTACTTACGCAAAGTCATGATGTCATGTTGGAAACTGCTCAAGATAATTCATAATTTTAGGCTCACTGTAGTGTTTATGGGTAAGGCAAAAATAAAGGTTTATTTTTTTTATGTACTCACGTAATGGAATCCTGCTAAATAGAATCCTCCGCAGTGCACCTTTAAAGCACCTACACTTAAAACAAGAATGGATCTAAGACTAGTCGACAAATCGGCCATCGTGACCCACCCCAATGCAGAGCATATTTTTAAAACAGATTCAGTGTGACTCAGAGGCAGCGGGAGCACTCAGACCTTTATCCCTCCCACTGCTCATTGTCATTCAGCCTGCAAATTCACCAGATGACATCAAGCCCACTTTAAGTATGGCTGTCGCAAATGTCACAGCTGAGCTCAACCGGGCTGCGAAATGGCAGCATATATTCTAGAGGTTTTGTTTCAGCTTAAGCTCTCAGTGAAAAGATTAGTGTCCTCCCTCGACCCAGGCTTGGCGTCTGATTTACTGCTTACTGGGTTCCTGCTGCCAAGATGACTTGCAATTAAGATGCTTTATAATTGCTCCTCTGTGTTAGAGATGGCATAAAATCCATGCCATAAAAGATGGGTTTAAATGCACCAATTAAAACGACTGGTGTGAGATATCTAGGGATAAAATGTGTGTATAGGGACTACCAGATCCACTATGCGATACATTATCCATGGATACATATAACATTTCAATAAATTGAAATACTGTATTCTTTCCTTTCATTTTTTACATCCTGACAAAGCATTAAAAAAGACAGTGATACATACAAGAATGCTGGCATAAGGGAAAAGGGTTGGTGTAAAAATAAGTAACTTGCCTTGTTAGAGAAAGGTCAAGTTATAAATGCCACAGCATAGTCGTGCATGTAATTTTTCTCCGCAAAGACATCGCTGGCTTAGTACTTCATGAATTATCAAGAATCTGTCATTTTAAAAGGGATAGTTCGCCCAAAGATGAAAATTCTGTCATTACTCACCCTCGTGTCGTTCCGAACCCGTAAGACTTTTGTTCATCTTCAGAACACAAGTGAAGATATTTTTAAAGAAATCTGAGAGCTTTCTGTCCCTCCATAGACAGCTACACAACTACCACTTTGACGGTTTGTTCTTGCGCGTCAAGCCGGTTCGGTTGAGCTGCTGTTTATGTTCGCTGATCAATGTTTATATGTTAATAAAAGCCTAAATTAAATATGTTAATCATATAAAGCGATCGAGTCACTTGAGAAAATCTAGACTAAACCGCTCAATTCATATGGATTAGTTTAACGATCTGTATGAACTTTTTGAAGCATCATAGTAGTTGCGTACCTGCCAATGGAGGGACAGAAAGCTCTCAGATTTCATCAAAAAGATTTCCATTTGTGTTCCGAAGATGAACGAAAGTCTTGCGGGTTTGGAACAACATGAGGGTGAGGAATTAATGACAGAATTTTAATTTTTAATTGAACTATCCCTTTAAATGGACTGTACAAGATTTCTATAATATCTTGGGATAGTCTTATTGGTGAATGGGAAATGCTTTCTTTATAATGAATTTATATAGGTCTAAAAAAGACCAAAAAAAGAGAAGAGGGACGAGCAACCAACCTTTTCCATGTGCCAGAGCCTTATCAATGAATTCTGCCGCTTCCTCAAAGAAGGCACTGATGTTGAACTGCTCAGTGTCATTGGCCTGTATGCCGTGGTACGTGATTCCAGTTCCTGTGTAGAACTCTGCATTGGTGTTCACATGCATAAAAGAGTTTCCCTCTGCGACATTCAGTATGTGTGTCACACCCGCACGCTGCAGACGCATCACATTCTGTGCCACAAACCTGGGGAGCAGAAGCAGAGCACGTGTGAGACTCACCTGGAACACACAAACCAATTTTGTAATGGTTTATGGTAGTGTTGTAGTTGAAACCAGCTTTTTTGAGTCAAGACCAAGACCAGAAGTGTGTTGAGACTGAGTCAATGAAACCAAGACCATGAAATATGACCACGTTCATTTTCAATGAAGCCCTGTTCACACTAACCTACAGCAACAAATAGATGAGGACGTATTTCAGAATAAAAAGTAAGAACACGAAACAAGAACGGCAAATCTTAACGGTAGTGATGTTCATAAACATTACTAGGTCAACCAGAACTAAGAGAGCCAACTAATGACCAACAAGTCCAGCGACAGAGTGGCGAACGAGGCTCGAAAGTTGGCCATCACAGCAACATTAGTGACAGCAACCTTTGGTGATGTAGTGCGGCTGAGTTCAGCGATATGACAATGTTTTTTGTTTTGTTTTTAATTATGCAAATGAGCCGTGCTCAAAATTCAACATCTACCAATAGGAGTGAAGACACTGTTCAATACAATTTGTCTCTGCCGAGTGACAAGTTATAAAAATTCATGGGAAACCATGTCATAGAAATTGTATTTGCATTCATTTCTGGCAGCAAGAAAACTTTGTCTTTGACAAAAATAAAATTAAAATAAAGTCCCATACCCGTTTATTATAATATACATGCTCAATTGATGTCGTCTGCCTCCTTAAATGCTCAAGCTCTTTAAAGCAGGATAGATTCTGATTCACTTATCAGGAAATAAAAATTGTTCTGAATGTGATTACAATTGTTGTGGTGTAAACTCTGCTACTATTTTAAATTGATAAAGATTTTTAAAACTATATCATTTAGTTATAATCCTTTGTGTGAACAGGCCTTAACATCTTATTTTTACCAGCACTATCTCAATCTCTAAAGGTAGGCCTAGATTAAAATTTAATGACATTTTTTCGTGTTCTTTTCTTTCACTGCTGAATCATTCATTCTTGATAAACTGTTACGTAACCCCTTATGTTACGTACATGTTTACGCATTAGCGATATACAATGGCAATCTGCACGTTCTCAGTTTGTAGTTCCAAAAAACCCAAGACCCTGCCAACCCCACCCCAAAGCCTCAACTACGGAACGGTCTGCTGTGTCTAGTTTAAGATTGATTGGAGTGAACTGTGGAGCCGCTTTTAGTTGGCAGAGATGTAAGCCGATGTCAGAGGGCCCCTGGAGACAGCAGTGTTCTAAACCAGAACAGACACACCAAGGAAATCTTGGCTGCCGCCCGGAGGCATACAAAGAGCCATAGGCGTCCAGCGTAGTGCCCAAAAATAGGACTTTAAGTCCACAGAGAGAGAAAACAAGAGATGAGAAGAGAGCGGAGCAGAATGCTCTGCAATGTAGTGACATTGTCTGTATTTTGCTTTAGCACCTGGAACTCTTTCATCTTTGTCTGCTAAAAGTCCAGCCTCTTTATGTCTCTCGTCCACTCCTCAGCGCCATCCCTCAATGCATTACAATGCAGAAGATGAATGACTGCACATATGGGTAATGGAGAATATATATAGTATATATTACCTAATACAATTAAAATACTTACCTAAAATTATACATGACACTGTATTTACACAGTATTTAATAAATAAAAAAAAGACTAAACTAAATAAAGATAAAATTTGCAGCCCTTTTGGTTTATAAGTGGAGGATGTAGCGGCCCATCAGTCTCTGTTTCTGCCAGCAGCGGAGTCTCTTCAGTGGTGATGAAGTGATGGACTCTGGCTCTGATGCGCCGCCCAACGCCCATAATTCAAACTCTCCTCTAACCAGTGAGTCTGTCTATATGGAGCCTTTGCAGATTGTGGTCATATTTCTCCCTATGTGTGTGTGTGTGTGTGTGTGTGTGTGTGTGTGTGTGTGTGTGTGTGTGTGTGTGTGTGTGTGGATGAGAGAGAGAAAAAAACAGAGAGAGAAAGTGTTTGCTTTGCATCTTGTTCACCTGTCCTGCACTCTGTTCACTGCAGTCCCTTCACATGCATTATTAATGTAAGTCTTACAAAGATTGGTGTGCAATGAAAAAAGTGCCCCATTGCCCCATACTGCTCCATGGTGGAGGTTAGTTTTAACATGAACTGATACAAAAATGTTAGTAGTGACAATGACGCACAAATGCTGAAAATATTATCAATAAGCAGCACAAGCAAACATTTAGGATTTATATATAATCATAATGACTTTATATTACAAAACAGTATCATTTAGGTCATATCCTACAGTCATAATAACACTAACTGAATAATAACCCCAAAGATTTGGCAAACTCTTATATCTGCACTCAGTTGCACTCTTATAGCTGCACTCAATCTGAACAAACAACAACAGTGCAGTCCATGCTGTACACAATGTGGACATTCTATGGAAGTAAAATAATGACAAATGTTTTTGAAACAAAAAAGCGTGTTGAATTGCACTACTTGAAAAAATATGCATTGCATTAACCCTGCTTGCATTTTAATGCATTGTATTTTTAGGGCTTGCATTTTTATGGGCTGAAATTCAACATGGTTGTATTTTTAAGCAGTGAATATTTCAATTCAAAACATTTCAGACACGTTTTCATTATTAAAAATTCAATAATACATATTCACCTTTCAGATTTCACTTCCAAAATATTAATTCGGTTTAAAAATACAACCTATAATATTCGACAGGCCTGCAATTTTCGGTCCATTTTATTTCACTTTACAAATTCGCTTCCACAAATTCAGTGGTTCAAATTCAACAGGAAATTCAACATTTGACATCCGGGAACGGCAGGAATATCAGTAGATTGCCGATTGATAATCTCCATAGCTGTTAGTCGACCTCAACAGCAGGGGGTGCAAGCAAGGGGGTTATCCACCAGCCGGAAACTGAAGTCTCCCCAGGGGCCGCCATTGGCAAACAAGCCTTCACCTGCTGTTAGCATTCCATTGACTCCCATTCATTTGGGCGTCACTTTGACAGCGAATAACTTTACATCTGAGGCGTTTAAAGACGTTTCGTAACGTTTTATCTGTACATCAGCTTCAGGGAATAACATTATAATCTCATTCACGGTAGAGAAAGCTGCTTACATCTGCAAAACTAACTGTGAAGACTTAAATGTAAAAACAGCTTTTGTGTCTTTATCAGCTTTTCCATATATAAACTGGTCCTGATAATCATCACAAATACTTACCACTTGCACCATTTCTGTAAATCTGTTTTCATGAATGACTCTCTCAGCCGTTGCTCAATAGTTTTCTTAGTCAACACGCGCTTGCACCCCCTGCTGTTGAGGTCGACTAACAGCTATGGAGATTATCAATCGGCAATCTACTGATATTCCTGCCGTTCCCGGATGTCAAATGTTGAATTTTCTGTCGAATTTGAACCACTGAATTTGTGGAAGCGAATTTGTAAAGCGAAATAAAATGGACCAAAAATTGCAGGCCAGTCGAATATTATAGGTTGTATTTTTAAACAGAATGAATATTTTGGAAGTGCAATCTGAAAGGTGATTATGGATTATTGAATTTTTAATAATGAAAACGTGTGTGAAATGTTTTGAATTGAAATATTCATATCTTAAATATACAACCATGTTACATTTCAGTGCATTAAACTGCAAGCAGGGTTAATGCAATGCATATTTTTTCAAGTAGTGCAATTCAACAAGCTTTTTGGTTTAAAAACATTTGTCATTATTTTACTTCCATAACATTCAATCTTATCTAGATGGGTAATTATTATGCATGGGATCATCAAATTTCAAACATTATCATTTTGTAATATATTAGTCCTATATACAACATTGTAAATCACTGAGCACTATAATACAAGTGCAAAATGTACTTTTTGTGCATACCGTGCATATTGTGTAAAAAAAAAACAGCAGAATTTGTTGTGCAGTGTACTCGTCTATAAAGTGTATTCTTTTAATTCTATCATATGTGTTTTGTTTATATTGTAGACTATATATCTAAGTATGTATGCATCTATTTATCAGTCATATAAGAATTGAATATAAATAAATCTGGAAGCTACAGACAGGGCGGATGCAGACATTAGCAGTTCAGTGAGACTGTTTTGTCAATATCTACAAATGACCATATGTAAATTCCAGCTGCTTGTAGGAGCACAGACTAAGCCAGGCACATCAGACCGTTGTTTTATGCTCAAATTGATTTGTTGTTACAGAGATAATGAGCTTGTTCTATAGTTATCCAATACAATGATGTTTATGTGAGCTGATTTATTAAACAAATAAGTGATACTGAGGAAGTTACTCATAAAACATAACACAGTCTATGTCCAAGATGTGTGTTGTTTACAGTCTTGAAATGGCAAAAATATCAGTTGCCATAACTGCCTCAGTTTCATTATAGAAATAAACATTATACTCAATAATAAACCTTTTTTAATTATTATTATTTGAAATCTGCTCAGAATATTTGAAAACCTAACAGCATTCTGGAGCTAATACAAGGGGAGATATAACACCTCTGTTAATCTGCCAATTAGGCACAATCATTCGCAAATGCTAATAATCACAAAATGGTCAAATGCTGGACAATTTATGTACCTGGCTAGTATATTGGTATAATTCAAATGATATAATGTTAAATAATTTACTAAATTGTTATTCATTTACTATTACATTAAATATTTCTTATTTCTTGTCATTCATATTAGTAACAAACTACCTGTAGGAACAAATATTTTTGAGAACTAATCCGACTGATGTCATGATGTCTGATTTCGTCTTATGATTTCTTTGATCTGCCTCAAGTTTTTGCAAACCACCTCTGAGCAGTTCTCCTTTAGTGAGTGCAGTGAAGGGATGCAAGTCTTTGAATCGACAGCAAACTGATTCTAGTTTAAAATTCTCTGAAGTAATTCAAAAGCTATTTGATTCGGTGCACTCAACATGCATTCGATTCAAACTTTTTAATTAATCTATACAGTTATTAAAAAAAGGGGGAAAAAAGAGTGTACTTTAGACTGTTTACTGCACCAAAATCAATTTATAAGGAAAAGCAATGTGTCCGTGCACGTTACTTTAAAAATGTATTCCAGGAACAAATAAATAACTAAAAATTTTGTTAATGTTAATTGTTAAAGAACCTAATGCACATTTTAAAGTCGGCATGAAAAAGAAGTTGCAATAGCCTTTTCTACCTATAGACTTCATTTTGTCCATTGGGAATTGATTGAATGATGGTTTGCTATTGCTGTGATCTCATGAGAGGGACAGGTTGTCCAGCCCTCACGCCATGTTGCGTAAACACATTATCAGAGAAGAAGAAATGTTGCTGCAAGTGGGAGGGGGGTTATTTTGTACAGAGCCCTGCAGTGGCATAGGTTTGATTTTGAAATTGGTGGGGACGGGGACATCAATATTTAATATATTTAAAGTTTTTATCGAAAATATTGCTAGGGATATATCAGTGTCACTGGATATTGGTAGGGACACGTCCCTAGCGTCCCTACTAAATTCTACGCCCCTGGACAGCCCTGCATATCATATCACATGCGGACAAAAATATATTGTTCCCACAAATTAACTGTAAATTTAAAACGAATTCATTCACTCGTTTTAGTTAAATCATGGGTCACGAATTAAGAATTCATTCCCACGATTTATTAATTCGTTCCTTCGTTTTAGTAAATCAAGGCCACGTTGAAATAATTTGTTCCCTCATTTAGATCTAACTAAAACAAGGTAACGAATTAGTACAACTTGGCCACGATTTAGTAAATTGAGGGAGCGAATTATGATATATGCGCATGATTTAAACCGGGTGCACACTGTACAATTTAAAATAGTCCTTTATGACATGCCACACTGTGGGATCTCAGACGTCATTAATGTCAGACTGTACGGCAGTCAAGACGCATAAAAAATGGATGCACGCAAGTCTCTCCGGTGTTTTACATCAGCAATCCGTGACACGTTCGGTAACAAAAACAATCTCTAGCGTTAACTTTGTCATGGCTTTTCTTGAAAAGAAAAATGCATAGCAAGTGATGGTTTGTTGTTGTCTCACCAATTGCATCATCAGGTTTTGCGATCTTATTGGTTTTAGATATGACGGTTGTCGTAGAAAAAGTGACACAGAGCCTCAAATTTCTGACAGAATTTTTGTCGGCAGTGGTCATTATTCGACTGTCTGCGAAAATGTCAAACTAGCGATCAAAGACTTCAGATTTTGGACCAGGATCAGAGGAATCTTTTAGGATTCTCGAAATATGTCTCAGACGGCCAAATCGTGACCAAAATCCTACAGTGTGAACCCGGCTTTACTTAAAACGAGAGAACAAATTAGTAAAAATGTGCGTATTAGTAAGTCGTGGCCTCGTGGGAAGAAATGGTTAATTTGTGGCCAGATATAGGCTACTTGTTGTTTTTTCCCGCATGTCATGTGATAAAAAAAAATGTAATTGTCAATTTTGATTTCATGGTAACTTTAACACCTGAATATAAGTTAACTACAATCTGGCTACCTTTATAGACTTTTGGGTTATCTTGGGTTCTCAAGTCTCACGCATTGGCCGTGAGACACACGCAATTCAACCAGTTCACACGCTCACACGCCACACCATGTATTTCTCACGCTGAAAAGGCAATGCCTACCAAGTTGTCCTGCAAGCTTTATATAACGTTGTATACGAGGCGCAGGCACACAAAGTGAAGTTTCCTGCCGCCAGCGCGTCCGTATCTCGGCCAGATTGCGTTCGTTACTAGGCAACATAGATGCGCGAACCACACGGAAGTTGACGGAACATTCTCGGCCATCGCGCGAACGTACGCACACACATTCTCGGCCACCGTACGTTCGTTACTAGGTAACCAACAATATCGCGCGAACACACGTCGTTATGGAGAAGGTAAGTTGGAAGAAAGCTCGTCTAACATTTTTAGGCTAGAACATTTAATATATAGCCAATCGTATACATTATTATTGATGCAGTCAAAAACTCTACAACTACTTTGCAACCAAGCCAGAAGCTTTTGCTAAGGGAAATGTTAGTGGGTATGGGAAGGAATGAAGTTTATTGAAGAATTGAATTTTATTTTAAATTATATATTATACTGTATTAATAGTCTTTCTAGTTACATTAAGGCTACATGTATTAAGGCAAAGTGCTCTGGGTAATATTTTATATCCTGTCAAAACATACATTATAATCATTGCCATTGCATTTGTATTTTTCAAAGATGTCAGGGAAAAATGCAAAAAGATTTGTTTTTCCAAACTGTTTGGAGCAATTTGTTATATTTTAGTAATTTTGAAATATAACATTAAAGAGTATATTTGATGTGATGAATTGCTCTGTCATTTATCAGATTTACCAATTATTATAATTTTAATTTGTGCTGGTTAATTATGAACAATGGGTAAAATTGGGGGGCGGGGCTCCACTGGGGCTCCTCCCCTTGGGCTCCTCCCCTAACCGCATGTGATCTCACTCCAAGCTTTTGATAAAACTTGAGAACCCACTTTAAAACCAAAAATAGTGGCGACAGTGTAGCTACGTGTCACGGATTTCGAGTCCAAAATCCCAATTATACAAAATTTCATAAAAGTTTATTTTCTTTAGCACATGATTCAAAGTCATCTTCCAAGATCGATGCAGTTGAATCGGCAGGAATTTAAATCTGTGAGTCGAGAAAACGAATGACTCAAATCCCTCGTTTTCTCTTTGTATGACAGAGGAAATATGCACTTAATATGCATTAGTAGCTAATAATTTAATAGAAAGAAACACGTGACTGATGTAAGACTGAAGCGATTTTGTAACCAGTGATCTCAGAGATAGCAAGATGTTACCGATAGAGGACAGTCGTGGAGAAAAGCAGCTTCCCATGCAGTCTGACTCAAACTGACTCGCTATGTAAACGTTATCAAAAATCTCCAGTGGCTTCGTGATTGTTCTCATAGGTGGAGAGGTGACACACTCCATTCGCTGGTTTGGTTGTTTCGCACCTAGACAATGTAAAAGATTCGGCTAGTATTCACTGGGAGGTTTTATTTATTGATCCAGCTACAGATCAATTGCCAGTGCCACCTCACGACGAATCAACACATTTGACCAAGAGCTGAAAGCAGATACCTGTCAGTGTTTTCCTGCTATCAGAAGCATACAAGTCTGCATGAGATCGTTTGAACTTACGCATTGCCGATGTAAATCCTGGGAAAGACCTCGTTGAAATGTTGTGCTGGGAGGCTATAAAAACCGCTGCCGTTGGACAGCAGCTTGTTGAGTTGTTGTACAGTCGCCTCGGTGTCTGGTACGGTGACTTCCAGTGGTACCTTCGCGGGGCTGAGATGCTTCTTCATGCTTCTGTCCTCCTCCAAAAGCAAAAAAAAAATTAAAATTAAAAAAGAAAGAAAGAAACAACAAGTGTCTAGTGATGAAGATGTGCCCGCTTTCGAGAACCCAGCATTTTATTTCCCTCCCCTCTCGGTGTTATTTGCGAGCTTTCTGAACGCTTTCGCAGGCAGACAGACACACCCGGACTCGCCCACCGGCGGTCTGATGTGATGCTCCGGTGATGAGGTCGGTAACAGAACTGGCGGAAGATGGCGACAACGCCCCGATACACGAGTCAATGAGAGCGGCGTTAAAGGGGACTCTACTCCCTCATCGAATCCATCCATATTTCAGACAGGTTAGACAGCATTTTGCACATGCATGTCACCTGTTGTGCGTAAAACAATGTCCTTAAAGCTCATTCTCTACACGTAATCCGTTTAGTGTCTCCCATTGATCTAGTAACACTGAGCATCGACCCCTCCCTTCATGTGAGGCTAGATTTATGTGTTAATTGATGTTGTGACAGCCAGGCTTAGTAAAAGTAATTAAGATTATTTATTTATTTCTCTCTCTCTCCTTTATTAACCAAACAAGTGGCTTTTAACCCACATATTTTAACTTAATGTCTGCTTTATTAGGTCAAATTTGACAGACCCTGAATTCAATTAGAGCTCCAATAAGGATAATGTGTTTTTATCTGGACAAAATGTGTATTACAATAGAAAGAAAGTTAACTAAATATTGATGGAGTGACGTAATTTGTGTATGAGCACAAAATGTGTATAAGCTGTGTATGAGCAAAAAAACATTTTGTCCCCACATGATGTAGGGATATAGGCCCACAGCCTCTTGCATGGTTTCAAACAAATAAAGAATATGGCTCATGTTTTTTATTTAAATCATAGCCACACTAAAACTGAGATCCTTGCAAAGTTCACATATTAAGTAATTTTATATTGCCTTACAGTAAATTTTCACTCAGGATTTAAAGTGTATTTAGCACACTAATACTCTAGTCATTCATTTGAAGAAATGTATAGGCCTACTTTCCATCATTTTTCGTCTTCCATCCTCGAGTGTCATTTTCCATTTTTGATGTTTATTTTCATGAACTACTTCTGCCTTGTGAGTATTATTAAAATAAATAATAATGCATTGTTTCATGAAAGCATCCAACAAAAATATCCTAAATTTGTAATTAACTATTAAACCACTAGAGGGAGTAACAGTACATTTATTGGATTTTAAACAAATCTGCACAGACAGCATTTTTTAAAAAATCTCTGAAAAGCGAACTGGTTTAAGCGTCAAGACACAATGACAATGAAAGAAACTATATTTCTCTTCCTTCTCATGCATGTTTATTCTGACTTTAAGCCAGTAGCCTAAACCATGCCTGAAGGAAGTTAATGTTCATGTAGAAAAACAGCTTTTTTCGAGAAGACTGATATGACTTGTATAGCCCTTTACATTGTATTTTATGTTTCTAAAAATATTTTTTTTAAGTGTAAAATATTTGTATTTGGCCAAAACATTACTGAGTGCCCCTTTAACTGATTTTTTCCCCATTGAAAAAAAAAAAACACCTGAATTTACTGACCAAAATACAGGTTTTAAGATATTTTAATTTAAGTAGATATAAAGTGAAATACATAAGTGAAGCGAGCAGTAGTGCCTTTATTCCAGCTGTCTTATGGAAAAAACTCAGCTTGTCACAGAATCCAATAGACGACATTGGTAGAAATGCTGATCAATGAGAGGAAAGTGTTTAGAGCTGGTCTTGTGTCTAATAACAGTTGACCTCTGCTGTGACCTTCTGTTCTACAGTTGTATAAATACAATCAATCTGACTGGTTAGTCTGTGATTATATTTTCAAGCGGTAAGCTTAATGCTACTGCGAGGACACTTTTTTATTGGAATGTCAAGTCTAAATGTCATTGTCTGCATACTCATTGTGACTTTGCCCTAGATGACATGATATTACAACATAAAGCCAGCCATTGTCTGTTGCCATAGCAATAAAATAAGGTGCCATGCAAGTCCATAGCAACGAGCCTTTCAAAAAGATGCCTAAGATGCCAATTTATTTCACTTGTGTTTACATTTCCTACTGAGAGAGTTCTTGTGTGGATTTCTCTTCGTAAAATATAGCCAAGGGCATGATTTGAATATTTTGGAAGTAATGGGTTGGAGGAAGGACTGCATCAGTTCAATTGTCTTTTTATTGACAACTTGGGACTCTGTATGTCCATCCAATTAATCCAGGAACAAACTGAACCACCTGAGACCCTGATAACACAATATAATTTATGCAACTGATTCTTGAGAGTCGGGACAAAACACGTTTTAAAAAACTTTTTAAAAAAATACACACTATATCAATTAGAGTTGTATGTTTCTGCAGAGAAAGGTCTTAGCTATTTAACCATGTAAAGGAACAGGTTCTAAATAAAAACACATTTTTAACAAATAAGCATGTTTCCCTTCAGAACTGGATTTGTGTCAACTCCGTCAGACACACTAAAAAGTATACAATTTTAATTCTTCCAATCCAAAAAGAATCTAAATTTCTGAAGTATATTGTAATAGTGTTTAGTTACTCTGATATGTAAAAAAAATACAATATATAAACTTAAGTTGTGATTTCACACTATTCTGAAAACTCAGATTTCTAAATATTTGCATTTCCAAACTTTGATTTTAATTTCAATATTGTAAAAACAAATTCCTTAAATAAATAAAACATAAGATGATGTAGATCAGATGGTCCTTCATTACAAAAACAACATAAACTGAAGGAAGAACATTTTTTTCCCCAAACAATTTACAAAAACAAAAACATACATCCAACGCTGTTGATGAAGATCTGACGGTGTTGATGAAAAACTGACGGTGTTGATGAAAAACTGACGGTGTTGATGAAGATCTGACGGTGTTGACAACAAATATGTGTGCATTGTGATTATTGAACAGATGTGCTCTTTAAACTACTACTAAAACTACTCCTTGTTATTAGAGTATTGAACTTACTGTAAAGCAAACTATAAGCACACACACCGTTTCCAACTATTATAAATTACACCGTTTCCAACTTGAAAAAAAAAACTCCCTCCTCCCCCTCTGTTTTCATCTACCTCCCCTATACCACTTCCTGTTCTACTTTTTCTCATCCATCTCTTCTCCTCTTCCTTTCCTCCTTTGTAAGTAGCCATTTACTTTAAAGTGGCGTGTGTGTGTGTGTGTGTGTGTGTGTGTGTGTGTGTGTGTGTGTGTGTGTGTGTGTGTGTGTGTGTGCGCGTGCGTATGTGTGTGTTGGATGTGTGATTGCCCTGCACTGCCTACTTTATACTGGGTGTGATCTTAAATTGACATTCCTTGACAACAATACTGCAACACATAATCTGTAGCTTAGAATCAGGTTCAATTAGCTTACTTAAGATTTCATTTTTGTCTAACCTGCGCTTATGCTTTGAGCAGCAGGCGTCGGACATGCGTATGGTTAAATAATGCAATGCATGCTATGTATGTGGATTTATGTGTAAATAAAACCCTGAAATAACAGTTTAACCCTTCACTATATTCACAAATAATATTATATTCGCACATTAAGAGGTTATTGGTGGATTTGTCAACTCCGTCAGCTTATAGGTCAACTCCGTCAGACATAGAACCTGACGGAGTTGACGTCTGACGGAGTTGACGTAAGGGCATGTATTTTCCCGCCAAAACATGTATTGTACACTGCATCTAGGTAGTTTTTCCTCAGTTGCTAGCTGTCCCAATAACCTCACTAAAATGCTTAAATTCAATCCACTATGGTTTAAAAAAAGTATCTTAACAGAAAGATGGTATTGACATGGTGCAGCTGTGACCATAGGAATATTGACATTGTTTGTCTAAAATATAAAAAAATGTAAAACGTACCAGAGCATGTGTGGTAGTGCTGCATTCACCACAGACAGGGAGATGAAAAGGGGTCCTCAGGGATATAGCTGACCATGCTATTTCCTGATTTAAAGAGCTGTATGAAAAAATCTGATGGAGTTGACAGAAACTGAGGACACAACTTTAATAGGCAGATATTTATGGAAAATATTGTTTGATGTTCACTTCATGCATTGTTTTTTATATTTATACCCCTTATTTTTTATTTTATATATGTTTTCACAATTGTAGAGCTTTTTAAAAGTTTTTTGGGATGGTTAATATTGTAACCTCTTGCTGAGGACAAGTGCAATAACATGGACCATCTAACCACAGACCATACATTTTAACAACTTTTCCCCAAAAAGATAAAAAAGTTTATTCTAAAAATCAGATAGGTATATACAATTCCTTTAGATTTAACTTTGTAAGTATGTCATACATGATGAATTTCTTAATTTTTGCTATAAATTAGACTTTTCTTTGTGGGACATGTTTTGTCCCGACTCTCAAGAATCAGATTTTTTTAACATAATAATTTATATTGTTGTATTCACTTTTGATTATGTTGTGTAAAATAATCATATTTTCTACAGAAAATGTTGTAAATTTGTAATCTTTTAAAATAAACATTTACAAAAACATTTATGAATATAAATAGTATTTCTAGTAGGCCTAAACACAATATATAGCCTATATATATAATGGATTTACATTATAACTGTATAATTTCCAGCTTGTTGGTAATTTCCAATTTCCTTTTATAAGTAAACAAAATATTTTTCTTCAGAAAACGTAGCATATTAGTCCTTTTTTACTACTTAACGTTTAAAAATGATAAATATTTCTAACAAAAATAAAAAATTATTATATGTTTTATAGAGTTACGTTAAAGCTGTACAATTTCGAGCTTGTTGCAAATTTTTTATTTCCTTTTGTAAATTTGTCGTTTAAAAACTTTTACAAATATAAATATTAAATGTATAAATATAATTTCTTGCAAATATAATTATTTATAGCAAATATAAAATAACATTTTATTTTTCATATATATATATATATATATATATATATATATATATATATATGAGTTAGACCGTAATAAATATTTATTGCATATATAACAGTCTGCTTTAAACGCTCAGAGTGAAGTTAAATGTCTCCTCTAAATGTATTTGGCCCTATCAAACATAATGGTTCTTTCTTAGACCTAAAGAGAAAATTCATGTATTCAGGAGAAAATCTCACTGCAGTAGTCAATACAATTTATCATCCAGTAGGTGGCACTCAGCTCTAGATTTTTAATGGACATGTTTTATTCGTATAAGTGCACTTAACCACAGTCAGAGGATGTCACCAAAGCTGAGGACGAGCTCTAAGCATGTTATTATCATAGCAAATCATGTTTTGCTAAATACAACACAGCAATCATTCTGATTGTGACCTTGGCAATGGCATTT